TTCCCTGTGGCAGACAGGGAGAGCTTCTAAAAATGGGAAGTTTCTCCCATTTATCCATCCTAAATTTCTAACCCGGTGCTATTAGTGATCTATTAACCTTTATCTTGAGCAGCTGCCCAGTGTGGGGGATGCCTTGCTTTCTAATTCTAGAAATTAGGTCTGGTTCCACTGAGCCTCACCCATTTTTACCCACAGGTGACCTGGCTCTGGAATTCTCCTAATATCTTTTATTTATTTGAGAGAGAGAGTGAGTGAGAAAGAGAGAGAACACAAGCCAGGGGGAGGGCAGAGGGAAAGGGAGAAGCAGACTCCCCACTCAGCAAGGAGCCTGATGTGGGGTTCAATCCCAGGACCCTGAGACCATGACCTGAGCCGAAGGCAGACGCTTAACTGACTGAGCCACCCAGGTGCTCTGAATTCTCCTAAATCTTGAAACTCAAATATTCTCTGACTTCAACCTCTCCCCATTCCAGTTCCTGCCTTCTCATCTGGACGATGAATTCCCTGTTTTCCCTGTTTTTCTGCTTCCTCTGGTGTCATGGTTAATCATCTGAACTGCTTTCTGGCTATCATCTTTGATTGCCTTTTCTCTTGGCCCTTAATGTGCCTGGCAGAACTGAAAACTCAAGACTTTCATTTTCGCTGTCATACAGCCTAGAGCTGTTGCAGGAACTGGAAGATCTAACTGGAACCACCATAGCTGTGCAGGCTCAGAGCTCAGTGAGGCTCTGTACTATCTTGTGGTGTCCGAGGTTCTAATTAAGCCACGTCCGTATTTCCATCCTCCCGATTTCTTCCTGTCTCAGATGAATGGATTCTCTCCTTGCCATCAAGCCGAACTTCTCCATCGGCCAGCTGCCTCAGCTCTTTGACCCAGTCTCTTTAGAGAGCTGCTCCATCAACCACCACCTCTCCTATATTTTCAACCTCTGGCTCCCTACTGATGAATAAAAGTGTGTCATTAGCTCCGTCCCCTCACCCTGCATTCCCTTCCAGCTATCATTCAATTGTTCTCTCACCTTCACAGCCAAACATTTGTTTAGGGACTACTTCAAACATGTTACATGATTCTCTGAAGCTGTCAAATCAATCTAATGTGTCACTGCTGGCATTAAAAAAAAAGATTACACAGAGTGCAGATTGTTTCATGAATCTTTTAATTGTAAATAATGTGTATACTGGGTCACACTGCAAAATGTATCATGTGAGTTGCGGTCAAACACTTGAAAGACACTGTTCTCAATCAGTGGTCTTCAAAATTTTGTTTGCATGAATTTATCATTGTTAAGTTTAATTACCGGCAGAGGATTTCATGTGGATTGCAAACATTAGCATTGTTAAATAAAACTAAAAAGAAATTTCCACTGTAGTAATTTGACACCTGCCATCATCCATTCAAAAGATATATGAACAAGTTTTAATAGTTGGAAATTTTACATCATCTAATTTTCTCTCTAAACTCAGAATTGGGGGCGCCTGGGTGGCTCAGTCTGTGAAGCGTCTGACTTCGGCTCAGGTCATGATCTCGGGGTCCTCGGATTGAGTCCCACATGGGGCTCCTTGCTCAGCAGGGAGCCTGCTTCTTCCTCCGCCTGCCCTGCCTGCCACTCCCCCTGCTTGTGCTCTCTGACAAATAAAATCTTAGGAAAAAAACAAAAAACAAAACTGGGATGCCTGGGTGGTTCAGTTGGTTAGGGAGCCTGCTTCTCCCTCTGCCTGCCCCCCCTCCAAGTAAGTAAGTAAAATCTTAAAAAAAAAAACAAAAAACAAAACAAAACTCTGAATTGTTCTTCTTCCCTCATAAGATTAAAATGTAATATATATATATATATAGATACATAATATACAGGAAATACCTATGTGTAAATATCTATTATAATTTATACTAGAAAGTTTATAATACTTCCCTGAAGTAAAGTTGATGGGACACCTGGCTGGCTCAATTGGTAGAGCATGCAACTCTTGATCTTGGGGTTGTGAATTTGAGCCCCATGTTAGGTGTGGAGATTACTTAAAAATAAAATTTTTAAGGGGTGCCTGGGTGGCTCAGTTGGTTAAGCCTCCAGACTCTTGATTTCAGCTCAGGTCCTGATCTCAGGGTCATGAGATCCAGCCCCTCATTGGCTCTGTGCTCAGCGGAGAGAGTCTGCTTCTCTCTTTCTCCCTCTCCCTCCCCTTGCGCTCTCTCTCTCAAATAAATGAATCTTTAAAATAAAATAAAATATTTTAAAAATACATATATATAAAAGTCGAAATAACTTCCTGTGAGCACAAGGCTCTAGTGTCAAAATCTTCTTTATTGCATAGAATTCAATTGATCACATAAATGCATAAATTTTGATAATCAAACATCAAAATTAGAATTTTATTGGAGATGTAACTCTTAATGAGACTGAGAATTTATTTCTTTAAATCCCATCCATGGATGAGTATCACCATTGCTAGAATGAGACAGGTTTAGCAACAATACTAATCCTATTTTTGGGCGCCTGGGTGGCTCAGTTGGTTAAGCGACTGCCTTCGGCTCAGGTCATGATCCTGGAGTCCCGGGATCGAGTCCCACATTGGGCTCCCTGCTCAGCGGGGATCCTGCTTCTCCTTCTGACCCTCCCCCCTCTCATGGGCTCTCTGTCTCTCATTCTCTCTCTCAAATAAATAAATAAATCTTTAAAAAAAAAATACTAATCCTATTTTTCATCTTTTATACATGTAAGAGCTGATAATCTTTGTTTACATAAATAAGCAGATGCCCATCTAGGATTTATTGAATCTGCTGAATACAATTCTCTGAACTCCTTCAAAGTTCTACGCCAAATCACATTGTGATCTACCATCAATTTTTTTAATTTAAATTTTCAATTACTTTAGATTTACAGAAGAATCACAAAGATAGTTCAAAGAGTTCCCCCATATAGCCTTGACCCAGCTTCCCCTAATGTTGACATCTTAAAGCACAGTACATTGATCAGAAATTAGAAATCAACATTGCTGTAATAGTACTAACTACAGACATTGTTAATTTCACCAGTTTCTCCACTAATATCCCTTCTCTGTTCCAGGATCTAATCCAGGATACCACACTGCATTTAGTTGTCATCTCCTTGTCTCCTCCAGAGTTTCTCAGTCTTTTCTTGTCTTTCATGATGTTGACAGTTTTGAAGTGTACTTATCAGTTATTTTCTAGAATGTCTCAATTTGGATTTGACTGTTTCCTCTTGATTAGACTGGGGTTATGAATTTTTGGGGAAGAATTCCAGAGATGAACTCCTTCTCATTGCATCATATCAGGGGGCAAATGATATCAATCTGATTTATTACTGGGGTGTTAACCTTGACCACTTAGCTAAGGTGGTGTCTGCCAGTTTCTCCATTGTAAAAATTACTATTTCCTTTTTCACATTTTATTGTTTAGAAGCAAGTAAGTCCAGTCCACACACTCAAGAGGTGGGATTCAAGCTCTACCTCCTGGAGGAAGCAGCACCACAGATTTTATGGCCGTATGTTAAAACCACCACTATAACTATTAAATATTTGGGGGGAGATACTTTGAATCTGTGAAAGTATTGTTTCTTCTTAAAGTTTCACTCACTACTTTTAGACTTTATCACCATCAATTTTTAAAATAATCTATCAGCTGGTAACTCAATTACGTCCTCCTTCAATTTTGTTGAAAGCAAATACGTGGGAACCAATTGCAAAATCCAAATATCTACATATTTCCAAGTGTTCTTGTGTCTGGAGTCCCATAGGTTTGTACACCCTCGGGCAGTACATCATAGATCTGATTCAGGATTGGAGAGAGGTATGCCCTTCTTTTGTAAAATGGGAGAAGTGTCCTTAGGCAACTTTGGAAAAATCAGGATGTACACGTTGATTTCCTGAAAACTGACCTGGTCTGAATACTTCATGAGGTTAGTATTCTCGAGTTTGAAGACATGGCTCTGAATGATTCTACTCCAGTGATTTCACCTACCAATACTGCCGTTAATTCCTCGAATTCTTACCTTTTGGTCGATACCTGTTCCCTTCTCCAAGGCAAATCTTCTTTCAACCAGTAAGTCCTCTAGCAACTTGGCTTCCTAATTCGGGCTTCATTTTCCTCCTCTTAAAATATTAAGCGGCTTGCAGCTTCCAGAACACACACTGCTGCTTACCTCTACCGCCTGGATATTCCATCCACATCCCCTCTCCGCCTCACCTGTGTAGCTGGGGCTCTGGATTCACAGTCTAGGCTAGATGGCCACTTGAAAACGTGCTCTAAGTGGCAGATCTCGAGGGCTGTAGAGCGAACTGCTTCTGGGGCGGGGCAGTGAGTGCTAGCTAGCGTTTGTAGAAGTCTCCCACATTTCACGGTGAGGAATGTTTGCCGCACACCACAGCCTTCAGAGTCCGTAGGCACCCAGCGCTCTCAAGGCGCCTCGTCTGCGCGGTGATTTCCAGTGTTGGCCACGAAAACGCAGTGTCCAGCCCTGAAATGCAGTAAGCCCTAGAGAAAAGCCAACTAGTATTCTTGCCTCCAGCGCCTTCACCCGGAGCAGCCCGGAGCAGTCCAAACCCAGGGACCCCGCCCGCCTCGGTCTGCCCGCCCCACCTTAAAGTGGGCTGGGAGTGCCCGTTCCTCAGGCAGGCTGTGGACCCATCAAGGGCCTTTACTGTTTGAAGATTACAAAGCCAGTCAGCAACTCACGCGAGACGGAGATAGTATTCTCGCGAGAACTCTGGGAGGCGGCAGTGATGGCGGCGGCGGGAACCGGACCCGGACCCGGAGTGGATGCAGGACCCGGCCCAGCCGCGGCCGCAAATGCAACAGCGGCGGAAGAAGGGGAGACAAAACCGGTGGTAGCGGTGGCAACTGCCCCGGCTGGAGAGGGGACATCTGTTGCTCCAGCAGCGGAACCCGGTTCTGGAGAGGCAGAAAGCGGGTAAGACGTCCCGTAGCCCGAGGAGGACACAGGAAGGGAGGCCCTCCCTTCTTGGAATCCCGCGGCTCCTGGGAACCCTCCTGCCCGCCCCCTCCGAACCTAGGCCCTGCAGCCAACGGCTCGCCCTGCCCCCTCCAGGACTGTAGTCCCGCCCGCCGCTGGGCCCGTCCCCTTGGCCCTCCCCTCTGAACTGTATCTGAAACTACGCCCCTTTCCGCACCTTTCGCGGTCTGTGAGAGTCGAGGTTCTTGTTCTCTCTCCTGCTTTTGCATCCTAACAGGGGGCTCGAAGCTCTCTCTTCTAGCAGACACCCCTCAAATATCTCAGAGAAGAAACCACTTTGCGTTGCCGGACTGGAAGAAGTAACGGTTCCTCTGAAAACAGTGGGAGAGCTGCGTCCCTGCGAACCTTCCCCAGGACCAATTCCATCCCATGTAGTTTTGTCTGTAAGGGCCGATTAGGCTTCCCTATGCCCTATGGGCCTGCGTCTGTCTAGGCCATGTTCTTCCTACCCCGGGGCATCCAGACTGAGAACAGGCTTAGTTGAAAAAGCTGTAAGAGTGTGAAGTTCAGCTGGACTTTGATCATTATCTTTGGGCATAGGCATTTTGAGGTTTGTTTCTCTTGAAAATTCTTACTTGAGTGCTTCCATTATCTTGTAGGGATGCAAATTCAGTCGACGTAGGTGGTGGTTTGGAGACAGAATCCTCTAATGGAAAAGATACACTAGTAAGTATTTCTTTTTGGATGTATGCAAGGCAAAATAGGTTTTAAACTTTTAAGTGAGTCAGAAATACAATTGGGTCAACTGACTGGATTTTCTAATTGCTCTGTGGACGCAGGAAGGTGCTGGGGATACTTCAGAGGTGATGGATACTCAGGCTGGCTCGGTGGATGAAGAGAATGGCCGACAGTTGGGAGAGGTAGAGCTGCAATGTGGGATATGTACGAAATGGTTCACAGCCGACACGTTTGGCATAGATACCTCGTGAGTATTTTTTGTAGTCTCTACGAATCGCCTTGTAAAATAAATCTCAACATGTTCAACAGCTGAATAATAGTTTGTGGGCAAATATAAAAGCATATTATTTCCTGTCTTCTAACCCCTGTTCAGTGAGTAGTAGGATTTGAATCAGAAATTGTTTTAATAAGCTGAGCGTGCTTTCTACCTATTGAGCTTGTTTTGTTGGGAAACAAAACTGTGCAGTTATGAAGCACTGTATAAACAAATATGGGACAGTATCACTTAAATGTTGTATTGGGTGTTACGGATTTGGGGGTAAGGGTTGGTGTCTATGGTAGACAAACGCTGCTGTCAAAAATTTGAGATGACCAGTGCCTCTTCAGGCTTGAGCCATTCTTTTTCCTTTTGGCTTCTAACTCACTCCCTTTAAGTAAGTATCCTGTGTTCACTCAGCATATTTCCAGTCTTCCTCTTCTAATGAATCAAAATCATTTTAGGATTGATTGAGAATAAAAGGCTTTTTGCTTTATTGTAGGGATTCAGTCAACAGCTAGCAAGGGCTCGATATTGACTCACTGTCTATGGAAATAATTATACTGCTGGCTCTCTGGTGTTCCTTAGATTGTTTCAAGTCTGCATTATTAATTCTGAAATTCTTCCTCATTGGGTGGGTTTGCGAGGAAATACCTTCCTTTATAATTTTATGCTTTCTAGTTAAAAAGTTATAGTGGGTTTTAGAAATGCTAATGTTTAATTAACATGTGACTGGTGACCTAAGGTAGAACATTTAAAAAAGAAAAAAAATACTGAAGGATCTGGAAGAAAGAATTGATCTTAGTAGAAGGATCTGTAGGGAAAATATACAAGATAAGCAAAGCTGGTCACTTAGACAAGACCTAAAATCGGGCACCTTTGGCCAAGGAGAGTTTATTTGGATAGACAGAGCCTCGGAAATTTACCGGAGAGATAACTTGGGGTGATCTAAGGAAGAATCAAAGCACAGTTTGGAGTTTTGGTAGGAACAGTTTGTACCTGAATTTGAGAAGTTACACCTAAAGCCCAACTAGGTGGGACAGATTATCTTTCACAGCTGAGATGGAGGAAGCGAGCTAGCAGGGTTGGAAAAAGGTTGCTGTAAACACCTGATTGTATTTGAATTAAATAACAACTACCTACATATCACTAGTTTGAGGCTTTGCTCTCTGTAGGTGATTTTATCACAGCGGGCTGTTGAACAGAAAGGTTTCGAGAGCAAGGTAAAGGCAAGGGAATTCAATCTTAACATTCACAAGAACGTTTCTTAATTTATTGAATGGTGGCAATAGACACACACCGGGAAGCTTCTCTTTGAGGATACCTTAAGCAAGTTTCAGCTGAGTCCAAGATAAACTTGCTTTTATTTTGATTTCTTCTCTTACAACTTGAACCAGTCTTGTATTTTTCTGTTACTTTCTCCTTTTTAAGACTAAGGTCTCTCTGTACTCTACTTTTCCAATCGTTGGGTGCAATCTCCACCCACCTCCTTCTCCAATGCATTGGTTCCCTCAGCATCCGCCATTTTTTTAAATCTCTCCCTCCATTGGCATCTTTCTCTCTGCCTCTAAACAGACAAGTCTTCTCTTGCCCCCAAACTCCCCTTTTAGAAGATTTCATCTTTGTGATACAGTCACCCTTAGTAGTTAGAATCCTTTCACTTCCGCCCACCACCCCCCCTTAGTCACCAAGCTTTTCCAATTTTTTCTCTTCTTTGTACAGTCTTGTCCTTTCGTTTATTAATTTCACCCTAGGTGAGGCCGAGGCCTTTACCTTCTGGAACGGCCAAAAAAGCATCTTACATACATTTGCTTTTTCTAATCTCTTCCTTCAGACCCATCCTGTCATGAAACTTAAATTTTAACCATGTCACTTCCCCTTCAAGGAGTTCCCATTCCCCACAGAAAAAAATCCAACTCTACCTGGCTCCTTGCACTTCTTACCTTTCAAGCCTTACTTTTTTTTTTTTTTTTTTTTTTTTTTAACCATATCCCTGACAGATCCCCTCTCTGGGACAAATTTGTTTACAGCAGTTTGCCCCTCTGCCCCCTAGTTGGTCCCTTTCTCATCTCTATACATAGTTCACCTAGAGAAAAGAAAACTGACTCATCTTCCCAAATCCAGTTCATAACTTAATGTCCTCCAAAAATCTTTTCTAACTCTTAAATGTGAAGTTGCTACTTGGATCCTTAAAGCTCTTATAGACTAATTGTCATCTGTAGAATTCCTTTGGTGATGAGACAAATAATGTTTTGTGACTTGCGTGTTTTCCTGAATAATGATGTACATTTTTAAAAAGATTTTATTTATTTATTGTAGAGAGAGAGAGCCGTGGGGAGGGGCTGAGGGAGAGGGTGGAGGGGAGAGAATCTCAAGCAGACTCTACACTCAGCATGAGCCCAGTGCAGGGCTCGATCTCCCGACCCCGAGATCAGGACCTGAGCCAAAATCAAGAGTTGGACGCCCAACCTAATGAGTTACCCAGGCACCACACAATTATTTACATTTTTAATTAATCTTGTCATAGTGTCTGTTTGCCCTTTCCAACAGTGTTATTGGCACTTTAAATAAATATTTAGGTATTTAAATATAATTTATGTACAGACATTTATAAAACTGTATTTAAATATAATTTACATACAAATATTTAAATATAAATATATTTAAAGAGGCTGCTTTGGGCGCCTGGGTGGCTCAGTCGGTTAAGCGACTGCCTTCGGCTCAGGTCATGATCCCAGGGTCCTGGGATCGAGTCCCACATTGGTCTCCCCACTCTGTGGGGAGCCTGCTTCTCCCTCTCCCACTCCCCCTGCTTGTGTTCCCTCTCTCGCTGTGTCTCTCTCTGTCAAATAAATAAATAAAATCTTAATAAATAAATAAATAAATAAAGAGGCTGCTTTGCCTTCTTCCACAACTGGCCTGGCATACTTTTTTTAGGTGCTCAAATACTATAATAAAATGGCTTGGACAAGGTCCCAGTGAGACCTTTCCTGGTGCTGAATTATCTGCTATGGTAGATAATGTCTTATTAAATTTTTGTAACAGAAAAATCCAGGTAGGGACACCTGGGTGGCTCAGTTGGTTAAGTGTCTGTCTTTAGCTCAGATCATGTTCCCAGGGTCCTGGGATCGAGTCCTGCATTGGGCTCCTTGCTCAGCGGAGAGCCTGCTTCTCCCTCTGCCTGCAGCTCCCCCTGCTTGTGCGTGCATGCACACTCTGTCTCTGAGAAATAAAACCTTTTTTTTTTTTTTTTTTTTTAAGATTTTATTTATTCATGAGAGGGAGAGAGGCAGAGGGAGAAGCAGGCTCCCCACTGAGCAGGGAGCCCGATGCGGGACTCAATCCCAGGACCCCGGGATCGTGACCTGAGCTGAAGGCAGACACTTAACCGTCTGAGCCACCCAGGTGCCCCCAAATAAAACCTTTTTAGAAAAATCCAGGTATTTGTAAAAATACAAGCCCTGTTTTGGTTTTGACGACCATTTTAAGTTTTAATAGTATATTACTATATTGACATTTTTTACCTTACTTTCACTGTGGGCAAAGGATCCTTGTTGATTTACTTCTCATAAAGAAATATGTGTTGAGAAGTTCACTAATCTGTTTAATCTGGCTGTTCTGCAGATCCTGTCTACCTTTCATGACCAACTATAGTTTTCACTGCAATGTGTGCCATCATAGTGGGAATACCTATTTCCTCCGGAAGCAAGCAAGTAAGAACAAACTATGGAGTGCTGCAAAATTGTCCTCTGGTTAGCTGCAAAAGAAAAGGGACTTGGATGTAGCAGAATCAGGAAAACTCTTCCTGGTAGCTGGTAGAAGTTCGGGTTTAGCTCTGAATAATGGCTATTATCCATTTCAGATCAATGATGACTCTACTTTTTGCTGCTGTAATTGTTAGTTTGTGGACCACCTAGTTGAATATTCTTTTGGTAATAGGGGTATAATACTACAGATAACTTTTTGTTTTTGTTTTCGCTAGACTTGAAGGAAATGTGCCTTAGTGCTTTGGCCAATCTAACATGGCAGTCCCGAACACAGGATGAACATCCGAAAACCATGTTCTCCAAAGATAAGGTAGAGAAGAAATTAATGTAATTGCAATTATGCCCAAGAATCAGGTGGAGCTTTTAAAATATACTTTTCAACAATAAATACTTTCCCCCCAATTTTTATGAATATATGACTATAGATTCAGTTGTTACGTGTTACTTATTTCATGTGATTTACTAACTTCTTGAATGTGCATAGTATGTCACTTGGCTTAGCTGTTAGTTGGATGAATCCTTAAATAGTTTTGGTTGGCTTTATAGAGAAGCAAACAACTGTCCCACAATTAATCAGATCTTGAGGTGGACCTTCTCAGCAGCTCAGTTTAGCTATATTTACAGATGATTATTACAGCTTTTGTCAGAGGGAAGGGGATGGGCTTATTTAAACGAATTATCCTTCATTATTAAACTGCAAAACCACATGACCAAAGTCAGGAATCAAAATTAGATGATTAGCCCATCCATGAGTCTTTCCTACTGTGATTCATGGTAAGAAAATGAAGTAAATTTTAAAACAATGGAGTTTACATTATGTCTAGCGTACATTTATACCTACCCACTTTCATTTAAAACTGAAACAAAAATTTCACCAGTGCTTACTCTCGGATCTTTCCCTCTGTACTCTGTTATTTTCTATTTTAGTCAGTGCTAGTTTTGACCTACAAAATTGATTTTATAACCTACTAATTGCGATCTACAGTTTGAAAGACACTGGTATGGGGTGTCTGGTGAGACCAATATAGTTGGGATCAGATCTGCAAGGGATTTTCTACTGAATAGAAGTTAGGACTTAATCCTGCAGGCTGGAGTAGTCAGCAGACGGCCCCCTCACCTTCTTTTTATTCCTGCATTAGAGGTGTGCTGTGATCAGATTTGATTTTTTTCTTATTTTTTCCCCCAAATTATTATTTTGAATTTTTCAAACATAATAGAAAAATTCGGATAGTACAGTGAACATCTGTTTATTCTTGACCTAAATTTGCCAGTTGTTAATATTTTATTGCATTTGCTTTATCACCCAGTGTCTGTTTTTTCTCCCTAAGCTATATGAGACTGAATTGAACACTATACCCAGTATTCTCTCATAACCACAATACAGTGATCATACTCAGAAAATTTAATGTTGATGTATACTACTGTCTAATATATGCAGATTTTATTTTTTATATAAAGTATATAGCTATATTTTCTCACTGTTATTCTTAATATCCTTCATAGCTTTTTCCTCCATCCAGGATCCAGGCAAGGATACACATTACATTTAGTTGTAATGTCTCTCTCTCTCTCTTTCTCTTTCTCAAAACCCTGAGATCAGGAGTCGCATGCTTTCCCCACTGAGCCAGCCAGGTGTCCGTGTAATATCTTTTTTGTCTTTAATCTAAAACAGTTCCTGAACTTATTTTACTTTTTTTTTTTTTTGGTCTGCTATGGCATACATTTGTTTGTTTATTTAAGTAATCTCTACACCCATCGTGGGGCTCCAGCTCATAACCCCAAGATTAAGAGTTGCATACTCCTCTGACTTGAGCCAGCCAGGCGCTGCGGTGTGCTGTGACTTTAAAAATTTTGAGGAGCCTAGACAGTTGTTTGGCATGATCCTCCTCAATTTGCATTTATCTGATTGTTTCCTCATGATTGAGCTCAGGTTAAACTTTTTTTTTTTTTTTAGAGAGGGAGGGGAGAGGAGGGGCAGAGGGGCAGCAGGAGAGGGAGAGAAAGACTCTCAAGCAGACTCCACACCAGTGCAGAGCCCGATGCCTGATCTCACAACCCTGAGATCGTCACCTAAGCCAAAATCAAGAGTCAGATGCTTAACCAACTTAAACATTTTGGGCAAGAATATTATGTAGATAGTGTATATTTTTCTTGTATCACATCAGGAGGCATAAAATATTAGTTTGTTTTATTATTAGTAGTCCTAAATTTGATTGCTTGGGTAAAGAGGAGGTATCACCAGATTTCTCCATTGTAAGGGGACAGACATATTCTCTTTGTAATTATTAAGCAGTCTGTGGGTGATGCATTGAGATTGTGTGACTGTCTTGTTCAAACCCTTTCAAGCAGTGGTTTTAGCAACCACTGATTATCCTAGCCTGAATCAGGTTAATAGAGTAATCATTGTGAAAAAGAATACATTTATTGCTTGCAGTTCTTCTGTGAAAAGGGGTTTTCCTTTCTGTCCATACTTTTTTTAAGTATCCCTGCGGATTTGTGGATTTTTATAGTCTGTTACTGGATTTCTGATGTCTGGTGCTCAGATTTGACCAGTGTAGCCCCATTTAGGCTGACTCCTGATACTTTGTGATATGTCCCTATCAGTTTTTGAACTCTTCCTTACTGTCTGGAACAACAGAATATTCCAGACTTCTTTTCAACTTTCCCCGATTCAACCCTCGTTCCTTTTATTTTATTGTTTGTTTGTTTATTTATTTTAAAGATACTATTTTTAAGTAATCTCTACACCAAACATATGGGCCTTGAAATTACAATCCCAAGATCAAGAGCCACACACTCTACTGACTGAGCCAGCCAGGCGCCCCAACCCTGGTTCCTTTTGGTAAAGATTTGGTTTTCTGGAACTAACTAGTGGAAGGTATTAGTGGTAGACTCTGACTCTGGTGGACTTGGGAAGAATGGTGAGAGTAGGGGAAGGTCGTTGTCAGAAGATCAAACTCAGATATATTTTTAGTCACACCAGCAAGAACTGGCAAGGACCACAATCAAAGCAGCAGGAATTGAGAGGAGGCCGGATTGGTGAGAAATTTCTGAAATCTGAAAATTCATTTGGTGTTGGTTTAGATGTGAAAGTCATACACAAGAGAAGAATCAAAGATGACTCCATGGTTTCTGGCTTGTGGTTCTAGGTGATAGGTGATTCTGAGCATTAAGAGCAAGAATAGAAATCGGCAGAGCAGGTTTGTGAGGTAGGATACAAAGTTTAGTTTTTTTGTGTTGTTTTGTTTTTAGAGGGTGCGGGTGAAATGCAGAGGAAGAGGGAGAGAGAGAATCTTAAGCAGGCTCTACACCCTGGATCTGGATGCGGGGCTCAGTCTTATGACCCTGAGATCATGACCTGAGCCAAAACCAAGAGTCAGATGCTTAACTAACTGAGCCACCCAGGCGCCCCCAAAGTTTAATTTTCTTACAAGAAGTTTGAGGTGCCTGTGGGGTGTCCACAAAGGGATGTCGGAAGCAGGTAGAAATAGGAACTCAGGAGAGAATGATTTAGGAGTATTTTCCAAATGGCACCCAAAAGAATGGGGTAGATCTTTCCCTCCAACTGGATTGTAAGCCTTATGTAGCTAAGATTTGTATATATTTATTTGAAATTCCTCACAGTCTATATGTTGTTTGCATGCAATTACATGTTTGTTTAATCGTGAAAAGACTAAACATGGATTTTTCTCTCAATTCTGACAAGGTCTTTGAAAATGCTGCAGTTTTCTTTCCTTTTTTGTGAGTATAACTTTGAAAGCAACTATAGAAATCTTAATATATTTTGTTTTAAAAATTAGGATATCATACCATTTATTGATAAATACTGGGAGTGCATGACGACCAGACAGAGACCTGGGAAAATGACTTGGCCAAATAACATTGTTAAAACAATGGTGAGTAGACTAAAATGATTAGACTCGACATTTCGAAAGTCAGTGTTCTTTGTAAGAATTAAATTTGTTTTAGTCTCACTGAAATAATGTGATGACTAAGAAAATGAGAACAACTTAGTTTTAAATCTTGGAGAGTAAGGTATCACTAATTGTAAATTTTAACAGGTTTCACACGTCACAAATTGTGTCTAAAGTGAATATCACCCTGGTTGTTTTATACACGACACTGATACCTTTGTCCACTGTACTTTTGCAAGTATAATTTTATATTGACATTGCAGACTATTTTTTCCTTTGCTTTAAAAACAAAAACAAATAACACTGTTCTAAACATTATTGTCCTTAGAATTAAAGAGAGCACCTGGGGAGAAGCCAACAGCAAGCTGTTAACAGTGCTTATCTCTGTGAGGTGGAGGGATAGGTGAGGATTCCGAAGGACTTTGGCTCTCATTTTTTCAAGTTTCTCTGTTTGAATTTTTGGATGGTCATGTATTAATTTTCTAATCAGAGGGAAAAGCAATACTATCATTTTGGGAGATTACACTTAGGAATTGGAGTTGCTGGTTGATCATCCATTCAGTACTACTTTGAAGTATAAAATTTCCAGTAACACTAAAATACTGCTTCCTTTTAGAGTAAAGAAAGAGATGTGTTCTTAGTAAAGGAGCATCCTGATCCTGGGAGTAAGGACCCAGAAGAAGATTACCCCAAATTTGGACTTTTGGATCAGGTATTTTGTACTCCCCTTTTGATTTAGAGCCCGAGAATCAGGTTTTGTTAACATTTGTCTATTTGCCCCTGCCATTACAGACCTCTAACATGGTGGGCTGCAGGTAAAGTGTTTCTGCTGTGTGTGCAAAGAGCCCTCACCTTAAACCAGGAGACTAGCGTTTTAGTTCTGGCTCTTCCCCTTAATGTTATAACTCTGTGCATATCCTTTTTATCTTTTTTAACTTTAATTTCCTCCCTTATAACATAAATAGGCTGTGCCAAGTTATTTCTCATTTTTCAAAGTTTACTCTTAAAAACATTTGTTACTGTGAAAAAAAATTTGTTGTGAATTAGAATTTGTGTTGTGTATCTAGCATAAAAGGACGAAAAAGAAAATTTCCACTCTTTGTTTATGGCAGGGGTTACATTTGGCATGTTAGGAGGCCAGAGCTTTTAGCTTTGCCTTAAACTGTTTGATCTGCCAGCATTGAAAATTCAAGGTTTCACATAGAAATGTTACTGTACAAGGGTCCATTGCCCAATGATGCACAGTAAGCCAAACACTGACAACAGTTTTGTAGCAGAGAAAAAGGGTTATATTGCAGGGTTCCAAGCAAGAAGATGGGAGAAAATTGCTCAAATCCACCTTCTCAAAGGATAGGGGTTGGGTGTATTTAACCATAAGGAGACAGGATGTCATGGGGTGGTGTGTAGGTTGAATGGAATATGCTGATTGGATATAGGGACAAAAGATGCGCATTTAAGGATCAAGCCTCTTTATGGGACAGTGCTCAAAATGGCAGCATAAGGATGATGGAGTGGGGGGGATTCTGGGGGGGGTAGTGTTTTGTCTTTTGTTTACTCTTGGTCCCTTCTGCAAAGTTGCAGGAATTCCCTATTCCAGTCTTAGCTAGTCTTGTCCTTGGTCAGTCAGCTTCTGCCAAAACAGGTTCATAAATCAATCAGGTTAGCCAGAGTTTTCTTAGGGTAGATGAGTCAAGCATTTGTTAACTTAATATACCGGTTTTAGAAATTCAGATTTCTGTCTTTTCTTCTAAAATGAGAAGATCTGATTACAATGGGCCTGAGTTCCCACGGGGAGCTGAGAAAATGGGGCTTAGGCACTCCTGTTTGCCTTTGCCCCCTCCACCACCCCACCCCCAATTCGTTCTCAACCACTTTGATCCTTACACTTGTCCCACACATGTTACTTGCTGATCTCTGTAGCATCCAAGTTTGGGACCCTGTAAATTGCAGACTCCCTAGGGTTGTCAGTTTTGATTCACATTCTATTAGAATTTCTTGGTTTTTTGAGCATTGCCAGAATGCTTTGATTATATAGCCTTCCTTTGTAATTGAATATATTTTTCCCTCTAGGATCTTAGTAACATTGGTCCTGCTTATGACAACCAAAAACAAAGCAGTGCTGTGTCTACAAGTGGGAATCTAAATGGTAAGTGTTTAAATGTCTCCTTGATGAAATATTTGTTAAGCTATTGAATCCAAATATGCCTAGAATTGGGCATCCTTTGGGTTGACTCTCAACTGGATATTTACAGAGGCTTTAAAGTACAGAACTCAGTTTTTGGAAGCTAGCCAAAGATTTGACAGGTGGTAGTGGAGAACTTTTTGTCCCTTTACCACAGTTTGGTCTCAAGTGAAACAGATGTAGCATAAAACAAGGTACAGGTTTAAGGTCAGATTTACTGTGTTTATCTTAGACTCCCTGTCTGTATGTCTGTATCCTCATCACTTAACACCTACTGTAGATTCAGCTCTCCGCTCTTACTCCTAATTCAGCTGTTATTTAATGGAGTTCCTATGCCAGTCTTTCTAATTTTTCTTGCCCTGAAACTAGCTTATTCCCATGACAGCAATCTGTACTGATTACCCGCTATAGATGTGTTTCTGTCGGTAACCCACCTAATGACAGGAATGGCCTTCAGTACTAATGGTAATCTAATGAAAGTTGGGGTAGCTGGGAGGTAGCTAGCTATTCCTCTAACACATGGTGTCATTAACTTGTCCTATGGAGTGGTAACATCTTAAATATGTAATCATTTCTACTGTTACTAATATTCTCAGATGGGTTGGAAATAGCTAAGTGTATTATTTCTCTTTTTACACCATTTTTTCCCATTTTAATTGTTACAATTTGACAAATACATGGTGCCACTTCTGTTCTTACAGGTGGAGCCTCTTTTGGAGGTGAATTCCTCCTCTGTCTTCTTTCAGCCTCTCAGACTTAAGTATTATGTGGTTTGGAAAATGCTTTTTGCTGAGTTGTGGTAGAAGCTAAAAATAAATTAAAATTTTAAAGCATCGTGAAAATGGTGGCAATAGCACTTGCTATGAAACTGTAGTTCCAGTTGAATGTTAGTAAATTCAAAGCTTATCCGTTGTCATATTCTGCCTAACATGGCCAGCAGTCCCCTTAGTATTACTTGTTTTATTCCAGCTTCTCTCTTAAAGTAATTAAAATACAATAACAATGAAAAATTAATAATTTTTTTAGGTAACTCAAGCTAGAGATAATGGATGTTACAACAGTTTAACATTAAACCTTTTTATGGAAAACAGGACTGATACCTGCTATGTTCATAAAAGGTAGTTCTGCATAAATCTGGTCCTGTATGTGCAGAATATGACCTGCTCTCAATGTCTTGATCCTTTTCATTGCAGCAGAACTGCTGATAATTTCCAAGCTTGCCCCAAATTAAGATACAGTATTCTATGCAGTTGTTTCCCTAAAGGTGTTTTCCTGCAGTTCAGGGACATTTTCTGGCGGACAGAAAAACAAATTGAGAGGAAAGACGGAACTGGACAAAAATTTCAAAGTACCTATTTCAGAAATCACTAGGTAGTATTCCTTGTGGCTTAGTATGTAGCTAAATTATTTTTTGTATAACATAAGTAAATTGTCGATTGATATTTGCTCTTAATTCCACAAGCTAGATTAGTCTAACCTGAATTTTATGCATTGGCACGATCTTAATAATTGTAAAAGTTGCCTACTAAATTTAAAGCCTTTCTACTTGTGTCATGCACAACCAGAGTGGATACCTAGTAGCACTGGAGAGAAACACCTTTTTAGTATTTCTGTTTCTGTTTTCTATGTTTTATGTACCTTTGTCTTGTTGGATCTTCCAGTTAAGTGCTTTAGCAGATAATTGTGCCTTTATAATGTTATGGACTATATCATGCATAGTTCAAGCGAGTGAACATCTACTTATAGTGAGGATATTCTTTGTGGATGTTTGTATTGATTTGGGTGGAAAAAAATTTTATCCTTGCGATTGTTTTTAGATGTGGGTATTTGGAATCTGAATGAGTGAAAATGCATTTGTGTCACATCCTCAGAAAGTGTACTAGTCGTTGCAGTTCATTAAGAAAGGAAGGTTGAAAACGTAACATAGGCGTCATTAGTGCTAGGTTCCTTTGAGCTTACTGCCAGAACCCAGTGTTCTGAGCTGGGAGACGCTCAGCCGACTCTTTCAGAAGCAGGGTGAGATCCAGTACGCTCTCAGGAAGGAAATCCTCCTGTGTGTGGTGTTACACAAATGCACGTCAGGAGTGCTAGTCGCCGTGCAATTTCCATATCCACGTGAAGCTTCTATCACAGCTCATTGAGAGTGATCTGCCTTCTTTTCAAAGGGGGAATTGCAGCAGGAAGCAGTGGAAAAGGAAGAGGAGCCAAGCGCAAGCAGCAGGATGGAGGGACCACCGGGACCACCAAGAAGGCCCGGAGGTGGGCAGAACACCCACTCCCACTCACCACTGCTAGACCATTCTTTGGTGCTGGCACAGTCCATCAGAGGGAAAAGAGCTGTACTCTTCACTAGCTCAGGTGTCTGAGATTACAAAGCCTGTCCATTTTTCTCAAATCTTGAGCACTTTGAGGGGTAAAATAATCTCCGGCGAGGAATCCTGTTTTACGGATTTGTGAAAACAGCCCCAGGGCGGCAACCCTGTGAGAGTAAAAATCTGTTAAGACATCTTGAGAAAGGAGAGGTGGAGGAGAGGGAGAGTGGACCCAGTATTGAACTTGAGCACTGGCCGTTTCCCTTTGCTTTGTTCAGCAAATCCTGTTTTTTTCTTATTTAGATTGGCAAGATAGTAAGGGCTCAAATCTCTGAGTTTCATTTCATTAGTTTATAGTAGTTAATATACTAAAGGAAATTGCCCTTGTTCCCCTTCTCCTTTTTTCCCCCTATGACGTACTGGCTCCATTTCAAAGATAGTCCTACAGACTACGGAGTAATTTGACTGAAACCACTTTACCAAATTTAAAAATGAATCCGTTTCATTCCCCTGTTTTGCCTGCAGAGGGCAGGATCATCTATTTGAGCAATGAAAAGCATTTGTGAAGTTGCATGTGTTCCTGTTGAAATCTAATTAAATCAGAGGTCCTTACAGATTTGAAGGCATTTGAGCTGGAGGGGGTTTTAGTTTCTTGATTTTATTTTTTCCTTTCTGCAGTGACCCTTTGTTTTCTGCTCAGCGCCTTCCCCCTCATGGCTACCCCTTGGAACACCCGTTTAACAAAGATGGCTATCGGTATATTCTAGCTGAGCCTGATCCCCATGCCCCTGACCCTGAGAAGCTTGAACTTGACTGCTGGGCAGGAAAACCTATTCCTGGAGACCTCTACAGAGCCTGCTTGTATGAACGGGTTTTGTTAGCCCTACATGATCGAGGTATGTAAGGTATTAATGTTCATGTTGGACCCAGATGTTACTTTGAATACTGTCTTCACCTTTGTCCAGTCTAGAATTAGATATACATGTCAACATCTCCCCCCCCCCCCACCCGTTATAACTAGACTCAGCAGGAACGTGCAACAAAGAATCCCCTTGTCTCTTCCATTAAGCTCTCGCCGTGTGTGTGTGTGTGTTTTTAAGACTTTATATTTTGAACTTACTTTATTTTTATTTTTTAAGTAATCTCTACACCCAACGTGGGGCTCAAACTTACAACCCCAAGATCAGGAGTTGCATGCTCTACCGACTGAGCCAGCCAGGTGCCCCTATTTTGAACTAATTTTAAACTTAAAGTTATAAAAATAATAGTTTTACTATATCCCTTCCCAAGCTTCTAATGCTAACATCTTACACAATTGATAGTAGGGTTATCAAAACCAGGAAGTTAACATTGGAATAGGCTATTAATGAAACAAAAGACTTGATGTACATTTCGCCAGTTCCCCACTAATGCCTCTTCTCTAGGGTCTCACGTTGCATTTCATTATTTCTCCTTAGTCTTTTGCAGCCTTTAACAGTTCCTCAGTCCTTGCGTGTCTTTCATGACTATTTAAGTGTATTAATCAGGGATTCTGTCGAATATTCCTCAGTGAGTGTCTAACTTTTTCTCATGATTAGACTGATACTACGCATATTTTGGCAGAATACCAAAGACATATGAGTCCTCATTACATCTCATGGCAGTCATGATGTGGATATGTCTTATTACTGGTCATGTTGACCATGATCATCTGGTTAAGGTGGTTTCTCTGGCTTTCTCTGTCTTTCCCTTTGTAGTTAATAAATAGCTCGAGGAAAGATGCTTTGAACTTTGGAGATGTCCTGTTTATAAAGTTTTGCTCTAGTATCCTTCAGTGGATCTTTTCTGCAACAATTTTTTTTTTAAGATTGTATTTGAGAGAGGGTGCCTGGGTGGCTCAGTCGTTAGGCGTCTGCCTTCAACTCAGGTCATGATCCCAGGGTCCTGGGATCGAGTCCCACATCGGGCTCCTTGCTCGGCAGGAAGTCTGCTTCTCCCTCTCCCACTCCCCCTGCTTGAGTTCCTGCTCTCACTGTCTCTCTCTCTGTCAAATAAATAAATAAAATCTTTAAAAAAAAAAAAGATTTTGAGAGAGAACACAAAGCAGTGGGGAGGGCAGAGGGAGAGGGAGAAGCAGACTCCGCCTTGAGCAGGGAGCCCGACGCAGGACTCGATCCCAGGACCCCGAGATCATGACCTGAGCCAAAGGTAGATGCCCAGTTGACCGAGTCACCCAGGCGCCCCTGCAACAATTATTAATGTGTTGTGTTTGCCTGATGATTTTTTCTTTCTTTCTTCCCGTCTCCACTTATTATTTAATCGATTTTTGCTTATATCAGTGTGAACTCAGATATTTATTTTATTCCATTGGGGTATACTTTGTCTAGTTGCTCAAATTATTCCAGCTTAGGCCATTGGGAGCTTCTTTAGGTTAGTTCCTGTGTTTTTTTGATAAGCCTCATCTTTTTTTTTTTTTTTTTTTTAGTACTTCTTTACTTTCTGGCATCACAAAATGTTCTGGCTTATCTTGTATTTTCTCTGCCCTAGGCCAAGTATCAGCTGCTTCTCCGAAGAGCCCTGGTTCCTTTGATTGGAGAATGAGATTTAGAAATAAAGACCTAAGTGTTAGGTATGCTCACTGGGTGTCTCTTTTAAACTCCTTCAGTGGCCAGAAGGAGGAGATTGTATGTATACCAACTGACACATACATACACAGGGTTCTACTGTGTTTGCACTGATAGCTTGGATTCCAGTCAAACACTCCTGGTTTGTTCCAGCCCTCTGCCTTTCCTTATTTGTCACTTCTTTCTCCAACAATGAGAAACCTGGCTCTGTCTACGGTGTATTCTCTTATTTGTTCATTTCTAATATGCACATAAAGTTTCAGAATTGCTGACCCCTGTGAGAAACTTTCACTAGCTAGCTTACAGCAGTTACATCAAGCTCTTTGGCTTTTAGCCTTGCAGTATCCCATTAGGTTACTGTTAGATTAGTTCTCTTCTTCCCCATCTCCTTCAGGGTGGTTGTGTATCTCATTTATAATAGTTAGGTTCATTTGTTAGTGTTTGTATGCTATTTTTAGGTTCTCCCACCTCTTGGGGGGAAAGAGAGAGAGGGAGGGAGTGTGTGTGTTTCAGAGGAGTACGTGAAGGGTCTGTTGAGTTCCAGAAGTTAAAGTTGTACAAAAAGGTTAACTCAGGGCACCTGGGTGGCTCAGTCGGTTAAGCATCTGCCTTCGGCTCAGGTCATGATCCCGGGGTCCTGGGATCGAGCCCTGTGCCGGGTTCCCTGCTCAGTGGGGAGTCTGCTTGTCCCTCTCCTCTGCCCCTGCTCGTGTTCTCTGTCTTAAATAAATAAATAAAATCTTTAAAATATGTATATATAACCATCATACCATTATTATTCCTAACTAAGATGAATAATAATTCCTTAATGATCTAATATCCGGTCCATACTCATATTTCCATGGTTTAAAATATGCCTTTTAGTTGTCTCTTTGAATTAGATCTAAATAGGTAATATATTTACTGCATTTGAAAGCCCATTATTTCTTGGTTTAATGCTAAAAGCTAACACTTGTAGGGGCACCTGCCTGGCTCAGTCGGTAGAGCCTATGACTCCTGATCTTCAGGTTGTGAGTTCGAGTCCCACGTTGTGTATAAAGATGACTTTAAAAAAATCAAATAAAAAAACTATCACTTACATTGATGCTGGTCATTTGGAAGTGAAGTAAATGTCCATTATATGTGGATTGTTTGACTTCTGGTAGTGACAAGCATACTTTGATAGTAGGGAAGGCCAAATAAGTGACTTCAGGGTTTAAGAAGTGAGACTTGTCTTGTTTCACTATACATAACAGTTATAATTCCAGGAGAAAAAAAAGAACACTGGCCCGTAGTAGTTAATTTGTTAGAATTTAATATATAAAATAGCAAAGGCTGCTTGCTGTTTATGCTATTTATGCTGAGCCTTACAAAAGTTAATGATAAATCTGTATTGTATCTTTTAACGTTTTTATTTTGAAATAATTTCAGATGTATAAAAAAGTGTAAGAATACTACTGAACTTTTTTTTTTCTCTGAACCGTTTGAGAGTAAGTTGCCATGACGCCCCCTCATTTTTGAGAACTTGATGGTGTATTTCTTAGAAGCAAGGATGGTCCCCTTGGGTTAGTTATTTAGTGCTGCTTACCAAATCACCATAAAACTTAGCAGTCTAAAACTACAAATGTTCATTATCTCCCACAGATTTTGAGGGTTGGGAATCTGAGAGCAGCTTAGCTATGTGGCTTGGCTCAGGAGAATTTATGCGGCTGCAGTCAAGCTCTTAGCTGGGCCTCTCGACTCTGAGGACTTGGCAGAGGCTGGAGGACTTATTTCCAAGATGGCTCACTCATGTCACTTTGACAGGATGCGCTCAGATCCTGACCATGTGGGCCTCTCCATAGACCACTTATTTATCCTCATCCGTGGAAGCTAACTCCTCCAGTGCAAGTGATCCAAGAGAGCAATAGAGTTTGAGTATCATCTGTGACCCAACTTTGAAGCTGGATAGTCGCTTCAACTTTGTTTTGTTAGGAATGAGTCACTACGTTCAGCCCACACTCAGGTGAAGGGAAATTAGGCTCCATCTCTTCAAAGGAAGAGTATCAAAGAGTTAGTGGATATTTTTTAAACTTTCACATTCTTACAGAACCAGTATATAACCATCAAAGACAGAAAATTAACACTAATTGCTACCATCTGATGCTCTTCAGATCCTTTTCGTTTCTCCAGTTGGTGTAATAATGTCATTGTAGCAAAGGATCCCATTGAGAATCATTTGCTGAATTTAGCTGTCTTGTCTCTTAAGTCTTCTTCAATCTGGAACAGTTTTTCTATCTTTCCTAGACTTTGATGACCTTGAAGCTTTTGAAAATGAGAGGCCACTTGTTTTATAGAATATCCTGCAATTTGAGTTTGTCTGGTTGAAATCTCAGGATTCGATTCAATTCTGCATCTTTGACAGAAATATCATTAAAATGATGTTATGTTCTTCATGTTGCATCCTGTCAGGTGGTACGTGATTTTACTTTGTTCCATTACTGATGTCCACTTTGATCATTTAGCTAACATGGTACCTGCCAGGTTTATCCACTGAAAAGTTACTTTTTTCCCCCTATGTAATTAAGTATTTTAGGAGGAGGTACACCCTTTACTGTCCTAGTCTATCCTGGACACTTGCCTTGCTCAGTCCCCACCTAGTGGCTTTAGGGCTGAATTGCCCAGGGAGGGATAAGGGAAAAAGTGTATTTGAGAAGGTAGAATTTGCCAAGTACCTAAGAAAGTTCTGCTGTACAGCATGTAATCCATTTAAGGAAGTTATCATTGTATCTGCCTAGGACATGAGCCATTATGGTCTGTGTAACCAAAAGAGTGGGGGGCCAGGGCTTTTCAGTCAGCCGTGCCACACTGAGCTGCGGTATGATCTTGAACAGTCACAGAATCGGCTGCTCCGTCTGCACGGTAGAAAGGGTCAGAGTCTGTCTACCTACCTATCATTGTAAATCATAAAGACCTTTATAAAAACTATAGCCAATCTAAATTTTGTGCTTCTTCCAGTAGAATTCAGGCTTTTAGTGTTACAAACATGGTTTCAAATGCTTTTTCCTCAGTTAAGTCTTAATTGGATCTGTGATGGTTCTACATTGATAAAATCAAACTACATCACCTGAAAATACTCTCCTATCTTTTGTCATTTTTTTCTTCATTTCCAAGTCACAATATCCCCTCCAATTGATTTAGATTGTACCCTGTATCTTACATAATGGCCTCATAGTCAAGTTTCAAACCATACACAAAGGTAGAGAGATGAATACAATGAATCTTATACTTTCCACCCACATTTAGCAGTTATCAAGTTTTTGCCATATTTGTTTTACTGTTTATTTTTGTGTCTCTCTTTTTCTGAATTTTTAAGAAGTAAATCTCACCCTACATACTCTAAAAAATATGCATTTCTAAAAGATAGGGATGCTTTCTCTCACAACCACAAAGCTATTATCACACTTACCAAAATTGATCATTCCTTGCTATCATCTGAATTCAGTCCATAATCAGATTTCCTTGATTGTGTCAGGTGTCTCTGTATCTCCCCACAAAATGCTTATTAATTACAAAGAGAAAATAGTGACTTCATAGTGGAGAAACCAGTGAGGCACCACGGTAGTCAAGTGATCAAAGTGTAACATGGGCATTTTGACATCATGTGCTTCCTGATACTATACACTGAGAGACACAGCATTATTTACTTCACTGATGTTCCTGACGTAAAAGCATAACCTATGCTTAAGCAGGAGGAAACCTCAGCAAACCTAACTGAGGGACATTCTACAAAGGAAGGTGACCAGTACTCTTTAAAATGTCATGGTCGGGGCGCTCATGGGTGGCTCAGCTGTTAAGCATCTGCCTTCGGCTCAGGTCATGATCCCAGGGTTCTGGGATCAAGTCCCACATCAGGCTCCCTCCTCAGCAGGAAGCCTGCTTCTCCCTTTCCCACTCCCCCTGCTTGTGTTCCTGCTCTCGCTATCTCTCTCTCTGTCAAATAAATGAATAAAATCTTTAAAAAAAAAAATGTCATGGTCATGAAAGACTTAACTGCTCCAGATTGGAGGATACTAAGGACACACAACAACCAAATGAAGTGTGGGATGTTGGATTAGATCCTGGAACAGAAAAAGGATATTATTAGGATAATTGGCTTAATTTGAAGATGATCTGTAGGTTGGTTAGTAGCATTATACCAATGCCAATTTTCTGATTTTGATAATTGTGTTATGGCCATAGATGGTGTTTTAACATTTAGGGAAGCTGAGTGAAGGACACAGGAGGAATGTATATTATTTTTGAAAGTCTAAAATTGTTTCAAAATTAAATATCAAGTCTTTTAAAGGATGGCTTATACAGGGGCACCTGACTGGCTCAGTAGGTAGAGCATGCAACTTGATTCCAGGGTCATGAGTTCAAGCCCCACATTGGGAGGAAAACTTAATTTAAAAAGAAAGAAAAAAAAAAAGATGGTTTATACAAATCAGGATCCAACCACATTATAATTGGTTTGTTATGTTTTAGGGAATAGACAGCATAACTGATTTTAACCTGTTAACTTAAATATCACTTAATAGAAACTAAATTACCTGACCACTTTGTTCCCGTTTTTTCCTCTCGCCCTCGGCCATATCCTACATTGAGATTTGAAACTCCTGAATAATACTCCAGATTCCTGACCTCATTCTGCCAATTTTTTACTTTGTTTTACTGGAGCGTAGGAGACTCCGGTTTGGGGGGAGCAATTGTGTCTGAGGGCCTCCAGCAAGTTGCAGGCCTCCGTTTTCATCTTCACACTGTAGCTCCCCAGCTAAAGATCTCCGATGACCGGCTCACTGTGGTTGGAGAGAAGGGCTACTCCATGGTCCGGGCTTCTCATGGGGTCCGGAAAGGCGCCTGGTACTTCGAAATCACAGTGGATGAGATGCCGCCGGACACTGCTGCCAGACTGGGGTGGTCCCAGCCCTTAGGTAAGTAGGAGCCATCAGGCAGAGAGGTATAGACCATCTGGCTGAGCTTCGTGGCTTTTCTTGGGGCTTATTGGATTATGGGCATAAAATTCACTTTCTGAAGGATTGGGTGGTTTGCAATTTTGTAAAACCGACCAAAAAATAAAATGAAAAGGAGTACAATTTTTTCTTTCAGCAAACCGGAGTTGATTTGCAATCTTTTGACTTCCTGTATATCTTTTTATTGGAACAGGTAACCTTCAAGCTCCCTTAGGTTATGATAAATTTAGCTATTCATGGCGGAGCAAAAAAGGAACCAAGTTCCACCAGTCAATTGGCAAACACTACTCTTCTGGCTATGGACAGGGAGATGTCCTGGGATTCTATATCAATCTTCCTGAAGACACAGAGACAGCCAAGTCACTGCCTGATACTTATAAAGATAAGGTGAGTTTGTCCTCCTGGGAGATTCCTGGGTTTGAAGACCTGTGGCAGCCAATGAATGCCTGCAGCGGTGGCCTGAGTGTACTCTGGTCATGCTGACCTACCATTCACATGTTTTTTCTCATATTTCATTCTGAAAATGTTAAGACATAAAAAAGTTGAAAGAATTTTAAATTCCGTGTCCAAATACCCATCACCTAGATTCTGCCATTTGTTCATTCCTCCACCCACCCATCTGTCCGCCATCTTGTTCTAATGCACTTCGGAGAATGCTAGCCACCAATATACCTCACCCCCGCCCCTGTGCTTCAGGATATACATCATTAGCTAGAGTTCAACCTTTATTTAGTTTTTTCTTTTGCCATAAGTCTTACATGAAATGTACAAATTTTAAGTGTATATTCACTGAGTTTTGAGTTTGGCCTAAATCCCAAAGGAGACATTAGAATCTTAACCACCCCAGGAAGTTCCCTCATGCTCTTCCCAATCAGTCCCAACTCCCATCCCTATAGAGGCAATCACTGTCTTGAAATTTTTTTTTCCCTATCGTAATTTTATTCCATTAATTTTGTTTGTTCTTAAACTTAAGTAGATGGAACCATGTACTGTGTCATCTTTTGCATCTGGCTTTTATTGTTTGGCTTAATGCTTTTGAGATTCATTTATGTTTTTGCATGTATCTGTAGCTTGTTTCCTTTTATTGTAGAGTAGTATTCCATTGTATGAATACACCATAGTGTATTTATCCATTTTCCTATTTTTTTAATATTTTTAAATTCCAGTATAAGTAACATACAGTGTTATATTTGTTTCAAGTGTATGATAAAGTGATTCAGCAATTCCATATGTTATTTGGTGCTCATCATGATAAGTGTACTTTTAATACCCTTCACATATTTCATGCATCCCCCAACCCACCTCCCCTATGGTAACCACCAGTTTGTTCTCTATTGTTGAGTCTGTTTTTTGGTTTGTCTCTTTTTTTTTCCTTGTTGTGTTTCTTAAATTCCACATATGAGTGAAATCATATGGTATTTGTCTTTCTCTGACTTATTTCACTTAGCATTATACTCTTTAGCTCCATCCAAGTCGTTGCAAATGGCAAGATTTTGTTCTTTTTTTTATGGCTGAGTAGTCTCCCATTGTGTATACACCATATCTTCTTTATCAGTTCATTCATCTGTAGATGAACACTTGGGTTACTTCCATAATTTGGCTGTTGTAAATAATGCTAAATAAACATAGGGATGCATGTATCTTCTTGAATTAGTGTTTTTTATTCTTTGGGTAAATACCCAGTAATGGAATTACTAGATCACATGACTCCATTTTCCTATGGATGGACACTTGGGCTATTATGAATAAAGGTGATGTGAACTGTCTTGTACAAATGTTTTTGTAAACATGTTTTTGTTTCTTTTGGGTCAGCACCTAGAAATGCAATTACTGGGTCATAAAGTAGTTATATATTTAGTTTTAGAAGCAATTGCCAGATTTCTTTCCACTCCCAGCTACAATGTATGGTAATTGTAGTTGCTTCACATCCTTGTCAACATTTGTTGTTGTCTGTCAACTTACTTTTAGCCATTTTGGTGGGTGCATAGTGGTGTCCCAGTGTGGTTTAAATTAGCATGTCTTGGGACGCCTGGGTGGCTCAGTTGGTTAAGTGTCTGCCTTTGCTCAGGTCATGATACCGCAGGGTCCTGGGATCGAGTCCCACATCGAGCTCCCTGCTCAACGGGGAGCCTGCTTCTCTCTCTGCTTGTGCTTGCTCGCTCTCTCTCACAAATAAATAAAATCTTTAAAAAAAAAAAAAAGACATTTAAAAAAAATTAAAAACCTTGAACAAATTAACATTTCTTTGATGACTAATAATACTCAGCAGGTTTTCATGTGCTGATAGCCATTCATCTATTTTATGAAGTTTCTTTTCAAATATTTTGCCCCCTTTTTTTTAATCAGGTTATCTTTTTATTGAGTTATAGAAGTTTTTTTATATATATGCTGGATTACAGTTCTTGGTTAGAAGTGGCTTTTTTTTTTTTTTTTTTTTAAGATTTTATTTGAGAGAGATATCGAGAGAGCATGAGTGTGGGGAGGAGAGGGAGAAGCAGGCTCCCTGTTGAACAGGGAGCCAGACTTGGGTTTCGATCCCAGGACCCTGGGATCCTGACCTGAGCCAAAAGCAGATGCTTAATGAACTGAGTCACCCAGGCACCCCTAAAAGTGGCTTTTTAAAAATATTTTTTGGGGTGCTTGGGTGGCCCAGTTGGTTAAGCATATGACTCTTTGTCTCAGCTCAGGTCTTGATCTCAGGATTGTGAGTTCAAGCCCTGCATTGTGCTGGGCGTGGAGCCTACTTAAAAAATACATTTTTTTTTTCTTCTAGTCTGTGACTTGTTTATTCCTTAATGGTGTCTTCTGATTTCCTGAAGTATTTAATTTTTAGGAAATCTATCAAATTTTTCTTTTACAGTTATATTGCTTTCTATGAGTTAATAATTCTTTGCCTACCCTCCACTCATGAAGATATTCTTCCATGTTTTCCTTTGAAAACAAGGTTTTAGCTTTTGCATTTAGGTCTCTGTTCCACTTTGAATTACTTTTTATGTATAGTGTGAAGTAGGTATCAAAGTTAATTTTTCTTCCATATGGATGGGTGTCCAATTATTCTACCACCAGTTTTTGAAAACTTTGACCCTCATTTCTTTGGTGCCCTTTGTGAAAATCAGATGATTTTATAAGTAGAAAGTAGAGTTTGTTTGGGGGCTCTCTGTTCCATTGATCTCTTCGTTGACCTTTATGCCATACCACACTGTCTTGATTATTGTAGCTTTAGAGTAGGTCTTTAAATTGGGTAGTATCAGTCCTCTTGCTTCTTTCTTTGTGTTTTTGTCTGGTGTGGGGGGTTTTTTTTTGTTTGTGTGTGTGTGTGTTTTTAATTTTGAAGATAATATATGCTTAGACTTTCTAGAAGGATATACAAGGACACTGGAACAGAGATTGCTTTTGGCAAAGGGAAACTTGAGTGTTGAAGGACATGGTGAGAGAGGGAGAGATACTCCTCATTTTATGTTCTCGTAGATCTCTTGAATTTTTTTTTAACTGTGTTTAATGTATGTATATGCTAAGAGATTCAAATTTTTAAAAAATTAATATCATCTATTTCCTTGGGAGTGAATAGTTAGGCTCTTGGGAACCAGCCAGCAAGGAAGGGGTGACCCGGAGACCACCAATAGGAGAAGCAGGTAGGGAACTAGGACGAAAGGAAGTAGCCCTCGAAAAATGTTTTTATAGAATGGGAGAGTTTAGGCTCAGTAAACCTGTTATTTGTTTCACTGAGATTATTGAGGAGAAAATAAAAACTATGAATTAATTTTAGTTTAATGGGTATTTTTATTGTGGTGAAAGTGTACGTGTATGTGTTTCCTCAAAATCTTAGTAAAGACCTTTTTTGAAAATGTTTAACAAATATGTGCCATCTGGTACTTTTCAAGAAGCACATAGTTGTTTAAAATCTAGCAAAGCTAACCCTGCATAGATTTTTAATTTCTGTTGCACAACATAAGGACTCCATGCTATTTGTGTGAATCTGGCTCTTTTTTTTTTTTTTTTTTTTAATTTCATGATGATGTGGCTGATTCTTCAATGTTCCTTTTTTCCCTTTCTTTCTTGGTTTTCAAGGCTTTGATAAAGTTCAAGAGTTATTTGTATTTTGAGGAAAAAGACTTTGTGGATAAAGCAGAGAAGAGCCTAAAGCAGACTCCCCATAGTGAGGTGAGTCATGGTCATAAAAATGTCAGAACTAGAAGGCTTTGAAGATTGGGACCAACCTCCTGATTTATACAAGTGAGGAAAATGAGGCCCAAAGGGGCAGCAGAGCGAGCTGCCTCTCCTACTTGCTATGTTTGTGCCCTTCCTGTGGCGCCGTGTGGCTGCTCTCAGAGGCCTCTTCAGGGTGCTTCTAGGGATGGTCTACAGAGACAAGGGTAAAAACGGCAGCCTACGGAGGAAATAAATGTACAAGCGATTGAGGAAGCAAGTCAGAGATACTTGTTCTTCTCAGAGGCAGGATCGAGTACAGAGGGAGGAACACTGGAATAGGAGAGGATCTTGCTGTGTGACCCATAGGCAGCTGGAGCTGTCATGGTTCACTCAGGATCCTCTAGAACTTTCCCTGCTTCCTGTTCAAAGGTTGATGAAACACGTCTGCCCAAAGTCCCAGCATAAATAAAGGCTGGCACGACTGGACCAGCCACAGGGGCCGAAAATAGTGGAAGAAGATTTTGAGCTGGAGACTTTTTTCCATAAAAATGCTGTGAAGCTACCTGAGACAGTAATAGAAGTGAATGTAGGAGAAAATAAAGTAGGGTTCCAGTTGTTTTGAGGGGGAAAAAGTAAAGGGAAACAGTTAATAGCTCTAAGGATGATACAACCAGATAATCCAGCCCAGGAGAACATTGCTTTTGCTGGGAAAAACAGGCAGAGAAAGTTACTTCAGAAAAAAAGAGCCTTTTCTGAAGTCCATGGATAGTGGTTGAGAGAGAATATTCAGAATAATTTTCAGAAGAGAAAGGACAAAGAAAATGAGGATTCAGAAATTTAGGAGATCTGGAGAGATTTTCAAAAGAGAGCTACAGAAGTGAGAATCTGATGCGAGGGAAGGGGACTAATAAATAAGCTTACAAGGGTATGGTTCTGAGGAATCGGTGGAAGACCAAATTTGTGTTTATAAACACAGTGTAACGAATAATAGAGAGTAGAACAGTTTGGTATAAGTAACATAGGCATTCAGAAAGCAAATAAACCTGAAGACTGACTAGAATAGTGCATGTAAATCTGAAGTCCTCTCTAAATGGAAGACACCATTGTTGCTCCCCGAGCTGTATGCTGTTCTTGGAAGACCCTCTTAGCAGCATGGTGACAGCGCTGCCGAAGGGTTCTCCAAGTGGGTTCTTTGGCAGTTTGTTTGTTCTGTTGTTAAATTCCGAAGTAAAACCACGGTTTTTGTTTCAGATAATATTTTATAAAAACGGTGTCAATCAAGGTGTGGCCTACAAAGATATTTTTGAGGGGGTTTATTTTCCGGCCATCTCACTGTATAAGAGTTGCACGGTATGTATCCTCTGTTCATCCTGTGAACAGGACTTGAGGGAAATAGGTGAATGGTTGTGTTGGAAGAGCCATTGATGTGAGTTCCAGAAAGAAGTCTAAATAGCTAGCTGAAGAGTGAGAAGGGAATGTGTTCCTGCTGTGACTGTGGCCATCCCCAAAACAGTTGGGTGTGTTAGGAAGTATTTGCTTGGGTAGATAAAAGACTGTGCAGTTAGCGTGCCCCGGACTTTTCCTTTGAATGTACTGTGTGGTTAATGCTACTGTTCAGTGTAAGGCGTATGAAGTATGTACATGCAAAAGTCAACTTGGTGTTACAGGTCATGATGACCCACCATCATTGGTTAGTAACTGTTGGTTATTTCATATACTGTGTTGTTGTTTGTTTTGTTTTGTTTTGTTTTTTTAAATATGATCCAGTACGAAAGGGACAACTTTGTTGTTGTTTTACGTGGTTTGAAAAGGTAATATCTGGAAGTTTCCATTTTTTTAGTCTGTCGGTAACCACCATTGAAGTAGACTAAGGAAATCTTTAGGTTATAAACAGAAGTCAACCAAAGTCTGTTTTATTTACCTAATTTTTGATGGACACTAGGATGTTGACCACTTTTAAGCAATGTTAAATCTATTTCATTTGTTCCACTTACACCCTGAATGTCATAGCTACATTTAAAAAGTTCCTGTGTCATGTTAAACTTTTTCACTCTTTTCTTCTGTGTTTTCATGTCTGTCTGCTTGAATTGAATTATCCCAGGTTTCCATTAACTTTGGACCATGCTTCAAGTATCCTCCAAAGGATCTCACTTACCGCCCTGTGAGTAACAGTCACGACGCATCCTCAGTATCTCTGTTACTTCTTTTTTGTAGCTATTCTCATCATCTCATTTCTGTTTCTTGTTCCTCCCACAGATGAGTGACATGGGCTGGGGCGCTGTGGTAGAACATACTCTGGCTGATGTCTTATATCATGTGGAAACAGAGGTGGATGGGAGGCGGAGTCCGCCATGGGAACCCTGACCAGGTCCCTCTTTGCAGACATGGACTTTCTGGGGAATAAATTGGGGAGGGGGCCTGTTTTTGTTTTTTAACTGTTGCAAACGTTCTCCCAAAGATACTGCAGAACACAGCCTCTGCTGTTAGCAAGTTAAAAGTGTGGGTGAGACTGGGAGAGACTCCCTCCCCTTCAACACTTTCCCCACTTCTGGTGACTGCTTCTGTTTTGTGTGCCATACGCCAACAACTGCTGACCCTAGGATCCCATGCGCTCCCTGTGAAACTGGTGCTGTAACATGTATCCCACCAACTGGGACTTGATACCTTACTGTATTTTCTACAGAGTGAATCATCTTGTCCAAGTAGCTAACTTATTTAAAGACATTTCCTTTTGTGGCATTGACTTCATCCATCTGATTTCCAAGGAAGTAATAGGCCTGTTTCTGAGAGCAGCTGAAACCAGTGGCTGTACATTCCAGATCTAAAAGGTCTTTCCTTTTGGTGTGGGTTTTTATTCATTTTGAAACATTTTTGAACACTGGGGTCTCTGAAACTACTAGGTCTCTAGAACTGTAATTGTAAAAAGAACTTGCTTGCAGCTTTAACAATTAGAAACCCTTCCCAAATAAAACTTGTCTTCAAGTGTGTGTGGCACTTTGCTTCCCTTTCACATTGGGTTCCTCTTGGGACAGGGATAGCAAGGTGGGCAGTCTGAGGAAAGGTAGCCAGAACTGGAGGAGACAGGCACGTTTCTGACTCTACCCCACGCCCTCTTCTCTTCCTTCCATTCCTTCCAGCCAACTCAACCAGTCTTTATCCTGTGAAATCGGACTCTCAAGGAGGTGAACAAGAGTTTAAAAGGGCTAATGGGGGAGCGCCTGGGTGGTTCAGTCAGTTAAGTGGTCGACTCTTGATTTCAGCTCATGATCTCAGGGTCCTGGGATCGAGCCCTACATCAGGCTCCGCACTCAGTGCGGAATCTGCTTCGGATACTCTATCTATCTCTGTCAAATAAATAAATCTTTAAAAAAAAGAAAAAAAAATTTCCCAAATCTCAAGTGACTATTGGTGTCTTCACACAGTAGCTTTGACTAATATATTTGTCTCCTAATGAACCATCCAGGCTCTTTGTCTTGGCCTTTCTGCATCTCTTCACATACTAACAGAGTCCGTATGGTCATAGGCTAAAGACTCAGTCAGACTGTCACCACTGGACACCTACCTATTCATTCATGGCTGGTCTTAAAGGGCAGACGTGGTTATAAAGCTGGATGATCAGAGTTTGAAGAACTCTAAGAGAATTAGGGTAGTGCTCTTCAGAGGACGCTGGAGGTAAATTCTTTGTAATACAAATTACCACGTTACTTGTACACCCACCCTCCATAGAAATGAAAAAATTTTTGTACATTAGATTTTCATAAATCAAGTTACAGAAGTAATAATTTTGCCTGTTTATACTTCATATTCAAAGCGCATGTGTGTGCACGCGCGCATGTGCGTTGAGAAGGTTCATTGGAAGGGCTCACAGAATACCCACTCTTCATGTAGACCCCTATAAAATGGTCTCCGTGAGCAGATCATCACTGACAACTTACTTTATTCCGATGTAAAATTAAACAAGTGGGAAAATATCTCCCAGTCTCCTCAAAGACATAGTTGCTTGGTTTGGAGAAGGCAAATTAAAATCAAGCTCAAAACTATGGTATGTGGTAAAATCCCACTTTTTTGCTCTCAGTCTGTTCTTTTTTGAAACCAGAGTGTATATTGCTTCACACATCTTTAAACAAGTAATAATTTTCTCTTAGCTGGGAGTGGATGGTAATTCTGTTCTAGAAATACAACTATCCCCTCTCATTCTGAAGCTCCCAGGTAGATAAACAATAATTTGTTTTTTTTGTTTTATTTTTATTTATTTATTTGACACACACAGCACAAGCAGGGGGAGCGGGAAAGGGAGAAGCAGGCTTCCCGATGAGCAGGGAGCCCGATGTGGGACTTGATCCCAGAACCCTGGGATCATGACCTGAGCCGAAGGCAGATGTTTAACCAACTGAGCCATCCAGGCACCCCAACAATAATTTGAGCTATGCTAAAAATAGACCACTCTAAGAAACGATCAGAATAAATAATAATAAATATTTCTCTGAGCTGTAAAATTTCAATAGCTCAATAAATATCAGCATTCCCGCTCCTGCTGAGCTCTTTAATAAATAAGCTAGGGCTCTATTTCCAAATGCTTTAAATCATCAATGCTATTAGAACCCAAATGGAAAAGCTTCAAGTGGTAATGGTTTTTCATCCTGCCCATACTCGTTAGCAAAGGAATCCCATCCCAGTTTATATTTTTAAAGCCTAAATTCTCTAAATCTTGGAAGGGAATTTGCCATCACCATAGCACCTCTTTCAGCCATCCCCTCTAGATGTTGTAAAACACTGGCCTGTTAAAGGCAGAGACAGTGGCAGCCCTGAGCCAAGCTGGAAGCTGATATAATCGGCTCTGAAGTAAAGATTCGGTTCCTTTTTTAGGTCTCAACATTCACTCGGGAAAATAAAATTTGTTTCTGTTCAACTTTGTCATTCATTCTCTCCTATTTGGTCCTATCCGATCTTTTAATTAGGTAAATAAAAATCCTCAGTTGTAATCCTTCCAGTGCTCGTCAATCAGCTCCCAGTTCTAGAGTTCTTTTAAGAATTGATTTAGGCTTGTGCTTATCATGGAAATTAAACCCTTATGAAAGATCCTGGTCACAGATTCTAAATAATTGAGTGACCTAAGTGCTCAGTAGTTTTTCCTTCTAATGAGCTAGGGGATCAAGTTTCATGAAAATGTCCAGAACTCCTTTAGCATGAAGTTGCAATTTACTAGAATGATTTTTTTTTTAAGAGTAGAATTTTTAACCAGGTACAGGCTGAAGTTTTTGTGTCAGTTTTGATTCTTTATTCTGACTGATGCTCATGGAAGAAGTAGAACTGGATTAATTCGTTTTCTATTTTTTTTCAATCAAGAAAACGTAGACTACATTTCTAGAAGGCACCTGCTGTGGGGAGTTGCTTGGTCTTGGTGCAGCTTGCTACCTATTTGGTAGAGGGGCAGAGGGTTGCTGGGGTCCCTTTTGTAAGACCCTGCTGTCCACACACCGCCTGCAGGGAATGGAGCTCGTGAGCCCATGAAGGATACCTACAAGGGACCCAACCCTTGTATTTAGCACCCTCTGAACCCTATATCAGCCAGTACCATTTTAAAGATGTTTTAAAATAGACGTGTAAGGGCCCAGAAGTTCTACAAATATTTGGGGGCCCTTAATCTTCATTTCACAGCTAATCATTAAAGTTAGAAAGCTCTTTCTCTTAAAAGCCTTGTCCCCATTTTCTTGGTCTTAAAATGTTACCAATCTGAGTCCCAGTGTCCTCCTCTAAATACACTCCCACCCCATCCCACAGTCCCCAGATGAAGATCTTGAACAGACTTGTAGGCTTCTAGCAGGGATCTTCCTGATGAGCGTGCAAGCCAGTGCAGCTAGGAACAGTTGGAAGGAGCAGGCTGGTCCTTAACACCTGGCTTCAGGAGCAGGGCTGGACTCCAGGTGCTTGCGCAGGTGGTTGGCAAAATCCACCTGGGTCTGTGATAAGACCTGGTTGATGATGGTCTTTGGCAGCCATCCCTAGAGTAGAAAAAGAATGTGGCCATCTTGTGGGTAGTGTTCCATTGTAAAAACGTACCCTATCACAAACATGGGTTGCTTAGGGCTTGGTCTTCCAGCTCTGTTTATGGGTGCAACCTTGGTGTTGACCAGGAGGACTGACTGCATTACTACCCTGCTGTCCCAACCAGTGTCCCCAACTGCTCTCTTCCCAGCTGTGTGACCCTGAGCTAGTAACTGTATCTTGTGGGCCCTAAGTTTCCTTCTTTCCAGATTGATAACTGCAGAGTTGAAATTTGACACAGAGGTAAAAGGGAGCTATTGTAGGCTTTTGAGGTGACAGAATAGCAGGTCATTACTCAAACCTCTTCCCTCCAACAATCTGTCTCTCAAAATGGAAGAGGATTTTTCCTGTTCCTTGTGGGATAATGTGGGAGGGTAAGAGCCAGTTTTCCTCCCCACCCCCTCCCCACTGAGCCATCTTGTGCCCCTCACCTTGAGGTCAATGCTGAGCAGCCAGGTGAGTTTGGTCTTTGAGGGACTTTCAGCCAGGGGATGGAGCACCATGCACGTGGGACCATGCTCACCTCTGGCAAATGAAGAGAAGTCAAGTCAGGAGGACCTTGCAGAATTCTCCTTTATGCTGACCAGTTACACTAGCCACACTTCCTTATTACCTTGCCTTCTCCAAATCTAAGAAATATTTTTTGCCAAGGGTGATATTTAACGGTTGGCATGGTCACCAGCTCCTCAGAACAAATGCTGGTTGGAGCTGGAGCCTGGGGGCCTCCTGTAGTGCCTTTAAGTTGCCAATAGAGAAAGGGTCCAGGGTAGTGGCTGGGGCCCCTGGGAAACAGGTAGCAGCTGTGTTCTGAGTGGTGCGGATTACCTTTTAATCGACGTACGGTCGTACCTGAGCACACCAGCTAAACCTCAGTCCTACCTCATGTTTTAGAAAATTACTAAGGTGCTTAAACTTTCTGGGAAGGTCGGGACAAACTGGCTATCCAAGTAGGACCAAACTTGTCTTCCTCCCCTGCTATGGAAAAAGAATATTTCTGTGTGAAAGGAAGCTGAGGGTAGGGACCAAAGGACTGGTTTCTTGGAGCTGAGGATTCATCACACACTTAGTGGTGCATGCCCACAAGCCTGTGTTAGGAAAGGGAGGTTTTTTGGTTTGGTTTGGTATTTTTAAAGATTTTATTTATTTATTTGACAGAGAGAGACACAGCAAGAGAGGGGACACAAGCAGGGGGCGTGGGAGAGGGAGAAGCAGGCCTGGGGAGCAGGGAGCCCGATCCCAGAACCCTGGGACCACGACCTGAGCTGAAGGCAGACGCTTAATGACTGAGCCACCCGGGTGCCCCAGGAAAGGGAGGTTTTGAGCGATTGCCGGTATTACCTGATGACACCTTTCTGCTCAGGCATCTCCCCGAAATGTGTGGCCATGCCAGCCAACACACAGGTGGAGCCTCGGCGCTTGGCACAGCGCACGCTCACAAAGTCACGGGGCCCCACCAGGTTTCCCGCCGCTTCTGCAGCCAGCTCATGGGTGATGACTGTATCTTTTCCAATCTTCTGCAGGACCTGCCAGGCCCCAGGGAGCCAGAGTCACCACGCAGCCAGGCTGATGCTAAGGCACCACCTGCAGCTCGCAGCCTCTTCGGCGCACCCTTCCGACTGGGCTCCTGTGGGTTCCAGCCTCCCTACACCTGGACTCTCCTCACCTTGATCTCCTTGACATTTGGGTTCCACTCTCCCATTGCTTCCATGCGTTCCACGAGCTCTTCATAAAGCCTCTCCATGGGCTGGTCCACCACCACCTCCAGCCGGAATACCTTGCCCACATCTGGGACCACTTTACTCAGTACTTGGTCCCCATTCGCCTGTCAGGGAGGAAAAAAGGAGCTGCAGGATAAAGGTTAGAGAGAAATACCCCTCGCTTAGGGCACATAGACGGGCAAGGCAGGCAAGGGAGGAACGGGAACAGCACAAAGAAGCCTAACATTACTTCTGATTAAGACCGTTGGTAATCTTTCCTGCCCCAGGCTGCCTGTGCCTGGACCCTTTCTTCTTGGTGGTAAGTGTTGATGGGTGTGGGTGGGTCCAACTGAAGAGGCCCCTGCTCGAACTCAGAAGCGTAAAGTTGCTGGGCAAGACAAACCTGGGAGTGGGAGAGCTGGTCTACAACCAGCTAATTACACACACACACAAACAATGTTGGGTGGGAGCTTAAAGAGGTTTTCAGTCCAATACCTCCTTTTACACCAGAAGGCTGGAGGCCCAGAGACCCCTAGCCTGAGGGCATTGCTGGGCCTACATCCCAGATTTCCTGGCTCCCAAACCAGGAGTGTGCTAACTCAGAACTTGAAGAAGGAGCGGGTTTACCTGAACTTAGGGCAATAGGCAGCATGGGAGCTTCTGGGTGAAGACAGAGCCACCAGAGTCTCAGTAGAGCCGGCGGCCTCGAACACGTGCCTGTTACTGGTTCCCGGTCAGGATGCAGTGCTCAGGAGCCAGGAAACCCAGAAGGCCTCGGGCCATTTGTGTTCCCGTCCAGCCCCGTTGCGGCTGAGCCCAGATCAGCCCCGCAAGCTCAGCCGAAAGAGGACTACACAGCACCAACATTGCGCCTTGGCCCCGGCGCTTCTGACCCAGGGTGGTGCAGGCCTCTGACGCACGCAGAGCCCCCAGTGCGCCGTCTCTGCCAAACTGGGTGTAGAATGTGTTTGGAGGGTAACGAAGGATCCAGAAACAGTGTTTCTCAGACACGAGTCTCCGGGATGTCTTTGATGGGCAAAGGGAGTATCTGAGGATGTATTCTTGGGAAAGGAGAATTTTCAAATTACAACTACCTGCTGCATGAGGCAGGAATCCCGAGGCCTTTGAGAATGGCAGTGGAACAGTGAGGAACGTGGGTTCCTCCAGGCCCACTCTTACCTGCTGGTTCTCCTCCTTCCAGCCCTCCTGGCTGCTGAGGATGCCCAGGGCTTTCTGCATGGCCTCCTCTCCCTGCCGGATATAGGCCAGCTCCTGGTCGCTGTAGAGGGTGTCTTCCAGCCGAGAACCTGGACACACAGCCAAGGAGAGAGCGGGCTCGCTTCTGTCTCCCTGGCCTCCCCCACAGCTGCCATCCCTTCCGTCTGGATCTGCTCACTTCTGTGCAGAGCCAAGACCAAAGCCATAGGGTCCGCCTTGCAGGTGAAGTTAGACACACAGCTGCAGCTGACGGCGGTGGCCTTGAGGAACTCCAGCCCCACCCTCTCAAAGTGAGTGGGAGAGGCCAGCTTAGGGTTAGGGGGAGGCGGGGGTGCGGGAGGGAAGCAGGGCAGCGTGCCCAAGCTCACACTCCGGAGCCGCCTCCTGCTGGCACGAGCCCAGAAGCCTCAGTACTTACCGAGCAGAGAACTCCGACGCCGAACCTGGTGAATCCATGCGCCCGGGGTCGGGCCCCCCAGTGCCCTCCGGTTCAGCTCCTGGCCGATGGCCAGCACAGCCTGGTGCCTCAGCCCTGCGGAGAGGGGAGGAAATTGTTGCTTAGAATCGAGAAATCCCCTTAGAGCGGGACCATTGCACCCCTTCATCTTGCCACAGATGAGGAAACACTGGGAGAGGGAGGTGACTTGCTCAGGAACACGGATCCCTAGTGGGGACCTCAACTAGAGCCAGGTCATCTCCCAGTCCAGGGCCGTTACTCTCTGCCAGGCCACCTCCTGGGCCCAGAGTCGACCTTCCATCTGGGCTGGCCAGGCCCGGTCCCGCCTGGAGGCGGGGGCTGGACGGGAGCGCGCTGAAGTTTCCTTCTCGAATGAGAGAGAAGCTTCGTTCAACTAGAAAAAAATCTGCAGGAGGAGGATTAAAGACGCCCATCCCCTGTAGTCTGCGTCGCTGTCAGCAGCTGCGGTCCTTTGCTGAGTAACTGCTCACCGTGCCCTCTGGGCGCAGAGCGAGGTGAGTCTGGTTGATCTAGTGAGAACAGCCCCGCTGCTGGTCCGGGTCTTCCAAGCCGGTTCCTCCCAGTGTAATTGGGGAGCACTTTCGATTGGTTTGTGTACCCTTCAGTGACCGCAGGGGATTGACTCAGATGACCTTGGGTCCTGAGTAGCTCTACAAAATCGGACTTGGGTACCTGGTTCTGCTTCCTCGTTGTACAATGATAACCAGACTTCCAGCTGCACCCACTTTCTCTCTTCATTTTGCTCTTCTTGGCGCCCCCCCGCCCCCCCCCCCCATGTCTCCGGCTTGCCAGCACTGCCTGCTGGACTCAAGGCTCACTGCCACCCCTGCGCTGCGGCTCGGTCTTTGCCGGTACCCCTGGTGCCGATCCAGGCAAAGTGAGGAAGAGCTCAAGGAAGACCAGAGCGCTGGAGAGCAGGACAGAAGTGACCGAACCCAAGGGGCTGGGGGCCTTTAAGAGGCGTCTTAGTATCCAGCCCAACTGTTCACATGGGCAAAGGGAGGTCCAGAAGGGAAGAGACGTGTGCAGGTTCCCCCAACAAGAGGCGCGAAGTGGGATCAGCAGGGGAGCTGCCTGAGTGCTCTGGGTCACCACGTGGGCCACCCCCTGGCCTGGGGAACTCACCCTTCATGTTGCGCACGTGTCTGTAGGAGCTCCCAGCACACAGCTTGAATGTGGCTAGAAACATGGTGTCCAGGCGGTGGGGACAGGCAGGGGAGCAGTGCTGTGGCCACTGCTGCCGTTGCCTCTGCTCTCAAGGGTGGCTTCTTCCTTCCCTCCTTCCCCCGAGCCTGTCAAGGCCTGCCCCTGGGTCCTGCAGCCGTGGCTGGGGACCAGCCGAGTGTTCTGCGTCTTAAATGCCCCCCGGCTGAAGGCTGTACTTCATCATCCGGAGATAAAAAAAAAAAAGCCATCGCTCGCTGTGCGAAGGAAGGGGTCAAGGGTAGAGGGATTGCCTCACACCATGGCTTTAGCCATTTGCGGGGAGCCCGGAGGAGGCGGGACCATAGAAAGGAGCAGGGAGGCGGGTGCCAAAGGAGCAGGGGATGAAGGGGGTGAAAAAGAAGCAGGCGAGGTCAAGGCAGTTTGGAAGAAAGCATACACCATCCAACTGGTTTTCAAACAGCACGTGAGGTGCTGTTTAAAATGCAGGTTTCTGGGGGCGCCTGGGTGGCTCAGTTGGTTAAACGTCCGCCTTCTCCTCAGGTCATGATCCCGGGGTCCCGGGATCGAACCCCAGTCCTGGGATCGTCCGGGGATTGTCCTGGGATCGAGCCCCGCATCAGGCTCCCTGCTCAGTGGGGAGTCTGCTTCTCCCTCTGCCTCTGCTGCCCCCCCTGCTCGTGCTCTCTATCTCTGTCAAATAAATAAAATCTTAAAAAATAAAAAAATAAATAAAATGCAAATTTCTTTTTCTCTTATTTATTTATTTGACAGAGAGAGAGAGCACAAGCAGAGGGAGGGGCAGGAGAGGGAGAAGCAGGCTCCCCGCTGAGCAGGGAGCCCGATGCGGGGCTCCGTCCCAGGATCCTGGGATCATGACCTGAGCCGAAGGCCGACGCTTAACCAACTGAGCCACCCAGGCGCCCTAAAATGCAGATTTCTGGCCCTCAGCCTCAGAAACTCTAGATTCAACAGGTCTAGAATTGAGGCTCTAAAACTTGTATTAAGAAAAAAAAAAAATCCCAGGCGGCTGCCATGCAGGTATCTTGTGAATTGCATGCTACTCTTCGAGAAGCATTGCCCTGGTCTCTCACGGAATCTTTTCCCTTTAAGATTGAACTTGAGGTTGCTTCTAAGCTAGATTCACCCAGCAGGAATATCAGGGGTCAAGAGAATCACACTAGTGTGGCCCCTGGCCCAGGGCCTGCCCGCCTTGTGAGAGAGTTCTGTGTCCTGTCACCACTGCCCCGAGGCAGGGCGGGAAGGCCTACAAAGTGGGGAGCAGTAGCAGAAGCCTACGGGCTCCCGCTGGCTCCCTCACCACAGAAAGGATGAAAGGGACAGGACCTGCTCAGAGCTGGCCGTCGCCCAGAGCCCAGGCATAACAGAGTGAGTCTCACCCGCCACCCTCCATCAACCCCTCATGAGGAGTGGGAAGGGTCCAGCGATCCAGGGGCCCTTGTCCTGGGCTCCTCTCTGAGCAGTGGCTGCCTGGAGGTCCCCCGGCCCATTTCTCGAGGCCCGCTGGGGCCCTCTTCCTCTGGGGAGCCTTCCTCGATCACTGCAGCCTTGTGGAATGGCCTGTTCCTCCATCTCACACCCTCACGATCACTGCCACGGGAGGTGTGCGTCATCTCGGTCCTGATTTGTAGAATGGCTTGGGTGTGTTTGCTTGTCTCCTCCATGGGACTGTTTCTCCCTGAGGCAGGCACTCTGTCCGCTTCCCCTCATCCCCCGCACTCAGCTCCAGGCAGGGCGCAGAGCAGGCTCTTCCTCCTCCTCTATGGGGTGACCAGCTGGGGAAGGTGGGGGTGTAGTATGTCTTTGGCTGAGAAAACCAGCCTGTAGGCTTTGTGTCCAGCCCTTGCAGAGTCCCAGGGAAGACAGCACCAAAGGGGGAGGCCTGTGTGAGGGGTGGGGGGACTGAAACTTTCACAGCTGGAAGAGAGGGTGCAGAGGGCACGCTGAGAGGGCTGAATAGCAGCTCCTCCCGGCTTCTCCTTGCCGCGTGGACACGTGCGCCCTCAAGCACATGTGCCCCTCAGTGGAGGTGGCGGGGGGCAGGAGGGGGTTATTATGGGACAGGCCATGCAGATAATGTTCAAGGCCCTGCTGTTGCCATCCTGGGGAGAGTTATGGCCACCGTGAGCGGGGAGGAGCTGGGCTGGGGAGACTGCAGGATCCAAGCACACAGCTGCTGCTGATGTCAGAGCTGCCACTGACTCAGGGAGGGGTGCTGGTGACCTCCCCCAAGGCCAAGGCCCTCGTCTTCCCTTCCTCATCGTTTCCAGGACCAATGAGTAGTTAACTCTCACTGTCCCCCTGAGCAGTAAGGTGGTTCCTCTGGCTCTGGACGTTATCTGTGTCTGGCTTTGCTTTTTGAGGAGGGCAGAAGCCCCAGGGGAGGAGACAGGGTGGACAAGGCAGGCCAGGGAGAAAGGCGACCAGAGGTCCGGCTCAGACGGTGTGGAGCGCGGGAGGGAGGCAGCGCTTGGGAGCACTCAGTCCTTCAACACCCCGTTGTTGAGTGTCCACTGTGTGGCTCTGCCCTTGCGAGGGAAAATGAACCATGTGGCCCAGGAGGAGAGTCGGGGAGCCAAGGAGGAGTTTGGAAGTACAGAGGGTGGAGGGCCTCACCACACAGTGGGAAGGCAGAGTGGGCAGGAAGGCTTCTGGAAGGAAGGGACATCCGAGCTGAGCGTGGGAAGTGCGGTTAGGAGGTGCTGGGTTTGAGATCGAGGATGGGGTGCGGGGGTTCCGGGGAGAGCATCTGGCCAGCAGCCCAGAGAAAGGATCCGAGGGTTGCTCCACAGCAGGTTGTAGGGAGTGGTGGGAGGTGGAGTACCAAGAGGGGGTGCACGGGAAGATTCCCCTGCAGGCGACGGAGCTGTCTGGGCCCCCGCTCAGAGGAGGTGTGCACGGGGCGTCCCCAGGGTCGCCGGGGCTGGGCTGGCCGTGTGGAGAGGCTGGGGAGTGGAGGACATGTGGGTGTTGCACCTCAGCAGGCTCCCAGCACCACCCCCCCATCTGCCTCTTGCTTCCCGATTGCCAGCCTCTCACTCCTTCCGTCCCAACGTCCTGGTCTGTGAAATGGGGGTGTATTTTCCTTTCCCTTTGTGTGACCCTCTCAGGGTGGTGAGAAGGCTGCCATCAGGTGACAATACAGCAGGAACCCGCAAGAGAAAGTCCGGCCTTCTCAGCCCAATCTCCGGGCCCTCCAGTGTCTCCCACCCCGGCTGTCTTCTCTGGGGCCTGCGGGCTGTCTGCCCCGTGCACACCTTCTCTGCATCCAGGTAGCTCACAGCATCCGTGCCCTCAAGGCTTCCGCTTGGGCCCCACCTCGCTCTGCTCTTTAACTAGAATTCGGTACTTTTTCCTTTGGGCCCCCTCAATAAACGTGTAGCACAGCATCAGTAAGACTACTGGCCTCCCGCCCCTCCCTCCCACACACCCCTTTTTAAAAAGACTACTATTTTAGAGTTTTAGATTCTCAGCAAAACCGGCCCGAGGAGGGCTCCATGCTCTGCGGGGAGTCCGCTTGAGATTCTCTCTCCCTCTCCCTCTGACCCTCCTGCTCATGCTCTCTCTCTCTAAAATGGATGAATAAATCTTTAAAAAAAACCCTCGTGGTTCTCTCTGGAAACCGGGGCCAAGAGTTGCCTCTCATAGCCTGTCAATCCTGGCATATAGAAGTCATCAACAAACTTAGGGCGATGAACGACTTATTCAAACTATATTTGGTTCCTTGTTGCCCCTTCACTCTCTGTCTCCGCAGGTAAGCCAGGCTTTAGGTCTCCTTGCCCAGAGATTTGGGCAGGGAACACAAAGCTTTCTGCCTTTTGGAACAGCCTAAACCAGAAGAGCAAATGGAAGGTGGGTGGGCTAAATTTAACCTTCCTGATTTTTTTCTTTTTTTTTGACCTGTACAGTATTTTAAGAAAATTTTGTATTAGTTGCCAACATAAACTATAGCAACAGGAAACAGGTCAGTGGTTGCCAGGGGCCGGGAAGGAGGGAGAAGTTAAGTTCAAAGGGGCAGGGGTGGTGGGCACATAACTATATGCAGTTGTTAACTCATAGAGCTATGCCCTGAAAGAGGGGATTTTACTATGTATAAATTATACGTCAATAAAATCTGGTCTTAGAGATAAATTCCCAGGCCATCTGGATATCTGACCTTGAGCTACACTGAGCCCTCGTTCTTCCTTTTTGTCCTTGCTACGGGCTCGCTGGCTGCCCAGAGCAGCGGTATCTGAGGCCGTTACCAGCCAAGTGGCAGCAACCGCTACTGAGGAGCTGGAGTTAGGAAAAACATTTTTTGGGAAAGATTTATTTATTTGAGAGAGAGAGAGAGCGAGCAAGCAAGCACGAGAAGGGGGAGGGTCAGAGGGAAAAGCAGACTCCCTGCTGAGTGTGGGACTCAATCCTGGGACTCCGCGATCATGACCTGAGCCAAAGGCAGATGCTTAACCGACTGAGCCATCCAGGCGCCCAGAAAAACATTTTTTTTTTTTTAAAAAAAGGAGAATGGGTACAATATAGGCTGAGAGGGGGGAAAAGAGGCAGAGCGGTGAAATGAGGCAGGAGGAAAGAAAAGAACTTGATTTCATCCTCTGCTTCCAGGGAGCCCAGGCAGAACCTGAGGCGGAGACAGGTAGAGGAGTCCTAACCCAGGCACACCCACCCAGATGAGTAAGAGACACGCTCCATTGCCTAGAGCTGGTTTTCCAATTCTTTCAGGCTGGAGGATCTTGGGAAGGGGATAGGAAAAGTTGCTTTCGATCTTGGTTCACTTAACTGGATACAAGACCTGCTTAGTTGTTAGAAGGCAGCTCTCCTTATTGGGGGGGGGGGGGTGGCACCGGAGGGTGATGGGCCAGATGGGGGTGGGGGGCACTGCAGTTGGGAGGAAAACAGGCTGAAGAGTATGTTCTTTCCTTCCAACACCCCTGACGAGTCCTCCCCCATCCCCAACCCCCTGTTGCCCTGGGATGCTCTTCCAGACATTTTTACACCAAGTACTTCCACTCTTCACACCTGGGGTCTGTGGTCTGCGGTGAAGGCCGCCCTACAGTAAGAGCACATTTCCACATTCAGCACAAGGATTTCTACTAATTACTCCTGTTGGTTGCTCAGTGGGTCCAGTTGTCCTCATGTTCAGTCTCACTGGCAAAAGCCTGACCTCTCTTGGATTTAAGGTGCAGTCGACCCTCGAACAACATGTGTTTGAGCTGCGCAGGTACGCTTAAGAGGTGCTTATTTTGATAAATACAGTATAGTACTGTAAATGTATTTTCTCATGATTTTTTAAAAGATTATTTCAGAGGAGGGGAGGGGCAGAGGGAGAGGGAGAGAGAATCCTCAAGCTGATTCCTTGCTGAGCACGCAGAGCCCCACGACGCAGGGCTCAACCCCAGCACAGGGCTGGACCACAGGACCCTGAGATCATGACCTGAGCCGAAACCAAGAGCCCGCCGCTTAACTGACTGAGCCACCCAGGCGCCCTCCTCTTAT